ACACCGGGCGGCTTCTCATGGGGGTGAAGTCACCGACTAACAGTCGTATGGGCAGCGAGTTAGGATGTACCAAGCGGAATAACCCTCCCCTTAAACAGCCCGCGAAGGGAAGAAGTGGATCTGCCGTTAGTGTCGGCCAGATTCACAGGCAGCTCCAGCTCGGTTCCCAGTTCATCCCGCAACGGCCCTCGCTGGTCTGCAGGCGCCTCCCCCGTGCCGAATCCAGCGTCCACCTTTTTCAAGACACAAATGGAAGCAGGAGGGCGGCCTCGTCAGGGTGGGCAATGTCACATCCAACAGCATCACCAGCGGTTAGTCCTTCAACCCTGCCCGCATGACCCACGCGGCTCCCGCAAGAGTGATGAGCAAAGTCGAATGCATCTCCCGTCAGAATGCGGTTAGGTACATCCCCAATTCTGAAAGTCGCCCCTCCCCTATTCTATCCCTCTCCCTATACTACTTGATACCAAAACTAGCAGCCCCAACGCACTCGCCCCACCCCAAAACCCCTCGCTAGCGTCTTCGTTCGTTCGTTTTTGTCAAAAAACGAACGAGATCAGCATTCCTCTCCTTGTTCTCTTCCACGCCGGCCATAGCTCGGCGCACCCCCTTTTCTCTTCTAGCACCTAGTCGCTAACTCTAATGTCGAATCTAACCTGGTTATCCCACTCGCATGCCCACAAATCCCCCAAATAGCCACTTTCCCGGCTCGATTCCGTTACGAATCGAGCGAGCTAAGCTCCCCTGGCTGTGCCCTCCTCCCTCCTCCCGTAGCTTCGCACTCACCCGGTCGCGACCCCCGTCCGGGTTCGTCCACCACTTCACTCACTCGGCGCCGGTCACTCTGCTACGCTCGCCCGCTGCCTCCCTGCTGTCTCGTCCCTCCTTCATCCACGGCCAGGCTACCTCGTACCACCGCTCGTCACCCCTCAGGCCTTAGTTGCTTCGTCTATTGCCTCTCTCCCCGCCACTACTCCGTCTCACCTACACGTACCCGACTCGCTCTCTAGTCCGAATCCATTCTCCTTTACCACTGCGTTGTCGTCAAATGCCAACACCCCCACAGCGTTGTCACCATCACCCCGGGCGCCGAGAAAATGGTCTAACAGCAGTCGACTGCCAAGAACCAAACGCCCGGCTGTCGGCTCCCCCGGTTTTATCTCCTTCCCTCCGCGCGGGGGATCGTACCGACCTCCCCCTTCCCGGTCACCCAGGGGGACTTCGGCCTATCGGGCCTCGGGGGGTTCGCGGTGCACCCCCACTCGTACCGCAGTAGTGCACTCACCTCCGGCTTACACCTGGCCCCAGACCCTGTCTTGATTCACTCGCCCCCTTATCTCTCAGTGCCCGCCGCTATCATGGAGTGGCCTCGCCCGCTGTTGAAACCGTCACGCTGGCCTAGCGCTTGTCACCACTGTTGCGTGCGCCCGCCTTCTTCCGAAACCAGGACAGCGGAAGCAACCAGCCAGAGCGCCTCGGCTTCTCCGCGCCCTATCCGCGTCGTCCTTGCGCAGGCGCTATGCTAATATTCTCTATATCATTCCAATTTGAACAGATATCCCGAAGGACCCGGCCGCGGTGATACCCCACCCGTGGTTCTTCAAGTCTCAGACCGCCAGCCGCAGTGTCTCGCCCCAGGCCAGAACGGTCCAGGAATAATAAAATAGAGAAAGCAAAAAAAAAAAAAAAAAAAAGCATGAACGGGAATCCCTAAGCAGGGTGCGGGAACTACTAAAACCCCACCGGTCCCGTGGACCGGGTCTGTCGCCGCCCCTATTAGCAAAACCGAGGGGGGATAGCCCCGTCGGGCCCTCAACCCCCTTAGCTTCCTCCACGATGCTCCACCGCTGCTGCGCCGACGCCCGTCGGCCTCGATTCCTGAGTCCCCATAGTAGTAGTCCGACACCGTAACCTATAGGGCTATGCCCCACCATGGAACAGCCAGGCGCAAACTTCAATATGATGTGGTGCCGCACGCCGCCCAGGCCCGGAAAAGACAGCCTAGGCCCTCTTTCCCTACCTGCAACCGGCGCGCCAACACCCGGCACCCGCGCCGGCCTACTTGAACCCTGCCGTGGCCGCCCCATGCGCCTGCCGGCGTGCCAGTCCTACCGTCGGCCGCGCGTGCCGACAAAAAAACAAGCCTCTATCCCTTACTCAAAGCCATAGCATGGTCCAGGTCGGTCGACTAGACCAGCCGCTCACTCAATCAGAAAAATCACACGCGTGCCCAAAAACTGCGCGCCCACATACCCCTTAACTTTGCCAAGGCGGATCTCGGGTGCAGCCGCGCCTCGCACGGCTTATTCTGACCAAACCAATTATTCCTGTCATCTGCAAAAACCAGGGCGGATACCCTTGTAAGGGTATTCGCGGCGACAGCCTACCGGACTATATTAAGCGACGTCCCCGTCGCTACGCCAAATCAGAAGGCTACAAATTCATCCATACTCCAAATGCTGACGAGCGCGGAACCAATCCAATTAGCCGTCAGACTCAGGGTCGAGGCCTCCAACAATCTATGCTGATATAACTATATGCCGCCAGGGTTTCAACCTGGGTTTCCATTGTCCTGACGTTAGGACGCCGGTGTATTATTGCTGAATTTATGCATCAATACTACAGCATAAGTTCCAAAGGCCACCTCAAATCGTCCTCTCCCCTTCGTCCTAGACAAACGCCGGCTTCTCGTTGAGTGCCCCTGTCAGATTCTTTCTCGTAAGGAGAGTCATACAGGGACGCGGGCCTTAAATGAGACCTCAGAAGGCACTCTCGCCTTCCTCACGGAAATCCTCACGATCGAGCATATATGTACATGTATACTTAAATCTCCTCTCAGCCTTTCCTGCAGTCTAGTACAGAAAGGCTAGGTCTCTGTCCTGACCCACCATAGCTTGGTCGATCAAGCCAGGTTTACGGCCTATCGCATTGTTAACTTAGCGACAGTACCCTTCGTTGGTTACGCAATGATAGATCTTCTCCTGATAAGTATTCAATCAGGGCAGTCAAATGACTCGACTCGTATCCCACGCCATCATGCCGGAGTAATTTCCTCGAGGCGTGCATAACCCCTTAAACTCTTATCCCGTTGGTAGACGTGGGCCCGCAGCCCGGTTGTGCTGGCTTGCAGCCATCCAATAGGGGTTGCGCCCTAGAGGTGCTAACCTTTACCGTTTAGCTTGGTATTCCTCAATATGCCTTAGGATTAGCACAAGTGTCTAGACGACGCGTCACAAACAGACCACAGGCCCGTTGCGGGACTACGCAAGGGTCTGTCTCACTTTTAAGGGTATTTACCAGCCCCCTATGGGACAACATAGAAGGCACGGCCCCTTCTTACAATCACAAACGAATTCACCGCTAGGCTTACACGAGGCTGTGGCCCGCTGACTTGATCAGAGTCAGCGGACCACACATCCCAAGACATCTCAATGCACTGATTTCCGACCTTCTTAGTTCCGTCAGTAATCCCCACCATAATTCTGGTTCCTCTTGTCAGACTTTATCACGCAAACATTGCTTACCATATCTTTAATCTATTAACCACCTTTCACACAAAGGAGGTTTCTCTCAACAAGTCTCCCAGCCGCCCTTCTCTTTATAGGATGGGCTGTTACGCGACCTGGTTTTTATAATTGCTAACAACCAACATTTCCACCTTCCATAATCTGAGGGGGTCTTCAACCATGGAACAACTCAACTGAGGGGCCTACTTAAGGGCCCCTCCCCCAACTCAAACACGAAACAACTCAAACTGAGGGACCAACTTATGGGTTCCCCCTCACAACTCGGCCATAAACATTCAGCATGGTAACCATTTGAGCCTTATAGGCTCGCAAGACCCCTTAGGGTCCTCACACATCTATCGCAAAAGAACCGCACTGCCTCCTCTTATACTCGGTCATTTCGCCTGCCCAAAGGCAGATCGCACGAGTATACCAGAGAGTAGACGATATCACATCCATACAATACAGAACACATGAGATGTATCCCACACATCTCTCACACAAAGCCATCATATATTGGGATAAAGCCACACATGTGATAGTGACCGTGACCGTCACAAGAGTAAGTCCCACAAAGTCTGGAATCAAATGTACTTAGGAGCAAAATATCTCCCTCAAGCCTCAATACAACACTCAACTCACGCCCTCACACACGCAACTCGTAGGATGTATTTAGAAATAGGATGTCTGCCTCGAGAACAACCCAGACACTCAGCTCACTGTCCCCCTCTGCCAAGTAACTGAAGTGTTATGGGCTCCTAGGATCCATACAAAAATACAAGTAAGGGTCTTAAACCTCCCAGACTAACACACAAGTCGCATAGTCACACAACCAAATCTCATCTCCTACATTGTATCACATACACCAAAAAGCTTAAACCCGATCAAGCATTGCCACCTAATTATGCACAACTAGACAGTTTTCTCTCGGTGGACTCAAGCATGTACACCTCTAGACTCCACTCGACTGACTCGAAGTATATACATCCCTAACTCGACCTCTGCGTACAGAGGAACCCTAGTCCTACTGTCATATAGGCGGGCAAGTCCCTACTCACTCATGACCTCCTGGTTCTGCCTATACAACTGTGCCCTACCCCCATCTGGAGCCCGCTCTACCACTCGCCCTTGTCTGTCGTACATCCTCCTACCGCCCTCTGTCACTTTCCCAGCAGCCTTGTCCTTGAGGAACTTCGGACACTCAAGGGCTCTGTGTATGCCATGCTTGCAGAAGAAGCATTGATCATCTGATCTCCTTTGGTACTTCTTCTTCTTCTTCTGGGATCCTGGCAGCGACGGCGTCTCACTGGCCTCCCTGCTCATCTCGTGGCTCTGGGGCATACTCCATGATTCTGCCGGTCTCGCCTCCAACATCGGGGTGCTTGGCCCCGCTCTCATCTCGTCTCTCTTAGGCCGGTACGCCGGAGTGTCCAGTCTCTGCGGCCTGCCCTCACAGACCCCTTCCATCACGCCTGTCGTCTCGTCCCTACGCGGGTCTGAAGGCTGGGGAATCACAACAGCCACTAACTCGCTCATAACCTCCTGCTGCTATTCTGAGATGTGCTCCCCTTAGTCAGCCCCAGTGGCCCGGGAGCCTAACTGTGTCCTCAGCTCCCCCACCTCCGGCACACGCTCCGGGGTCTCCTGTCTCTGAGGCCCTCCTGATGGCATTTCCAGCTTCATGGCCGCCACTAACTCATCCAAACGAGATGCCCCCCCCTCCATCGCCCCAGGCTTCGCAGACGTTGTTGCCCCTGTAAGGGTGCCCTCTTGTACCTCCAAAAGGATCGTAGGGGACTCCTCCGTGGGGCCCCCTCCCGCCACTGGAGGCTGGGGTCTCAGCACCAGCCCGCCCTCAGGGATCTCAATCGTCATAGGGGTAGCCTGTTGCGAGGCCAACTCCGTGGGAGTCCTGAAGCTGAACCTCCCCTCTTCGGCCTCCCGCCTCGCTGCCGCCTCTGTCGGGTCCAGGAATACCTTCCCCATTCCTCCTTGCTGAGGTGGCCCTGTCGTCCCTTCCTGGCCAAAGAGCTCTTGTATCTCCTTCCCCTGGATACCATACAGGCTCTGCTCCGTCCAGTCAACCACCTTAGTGGCCGAGAGCCTCTCCACCATCGCCGCCATGTCCTGGAGCCTCTTCTCCCATTCCGCCTCTTTGGCTTCCATGCGGGACCTCCACGCTTGGTTCTCTGCCCTCTCTTCCACCAACTGGGTGGACAACTGCTCCACCTCTAACCTCGAGGCCGCCAACTCATCACTGAGCATGGAGTACCGCTGGAAGGACGTGACCGCCACCTCGCGTATCTCCCTGTCGGTCCGCTCGATTGCCATCCTAGCGGCTGGAAATCCCAAGTCCCCAGTCTCTCGTGCCTCATCCACCTTCTCGTCCTCCCGCCCTGCCTCTCGAGACCTCTTACGGGCAGCATTCCTCTTACCCTCGTAGCTGGCCCATGCCTCACCAATCCTCTGCTCCCTCGTCGGGGGGTCGATTGGTGGCCTCGGTACCTCCCCAGCGGCCTCCATCCTAACCTTCTTCTGGTATATCTCCTCAAGACGCACCTGTACCCTTGCGAACTTCTCCTCCGTCGTCTCTCTTGGTGGCCTCTCCGCTTGTGTCCCGCGGGCGTCCCGTAATGGAGCTCCATCATTCACCCCTTCCTCTGCGTGCGGCAACCCTGGCGGTGGCTCCTCAGATGTTGGCATCTCGGTGTCCAGGGACTCAGTTCCATGCTCCGCTAGTTGTGGTGCCACAGTAGCAGATGTCCTCGCCCTCTCGCTCTCCTCTCGCCCTGCCTGCGTCGGGGGTGGCGTAGTAGTTCCCAATGGCGGTACTGGAACTTCCTCGCTATCCGGTTAGGGTATTCCCTCAGGCCTGTACCTCCGGGATCGGGGTAGGAGGAGGGGTGTCATTCCCAACAGTAATAACCCCCTCAGTCTGCGGCTCCTCTGGCCCACTCGGCCCAGCCTCGGAGCCCGACTCAGGCGGTCCTTCCTTCGGCTCGTCCTTTGCTGGCTCATACTGCGCGGGGCCGCTCTGATCTGCTCCCAACCGCGACGTCCCCCACTGGGATGCATCCAGATGGGCCTCCAGGCTATCGAGCGGCGTCCTCAACGGTATAGCCTCCCCTTCCTCTGGCAATGTCGGCGACGGGCCCCGTAGGTCACTGCTCGTGATCCGGTGAAACTCCACCTGCTCAAGTGCGTGGGTAGAGGATAGTTCCGTTACCTGAGCCGGCCCCGTGGCCTGAACTAGCTCCACCCCCTGGGCGGGCTCCGCTGGCTCCTCTCGCTGTGCCAAGGCCTTTCGGCCTCCCCTCGTCGTAGTAGCTCCTCTTGCCTCCGGGTCTCGGGGCCTCTTGCTCCTCTATCGTCTCTCCACCCTAGGCTCTAGTCTCTCGGGCTCCAGTCGTCGAAATGCCTGTCTCAACTGGGCCTGGCAGTCCTCCCAATCGCGTGCCCTTTAGATTCCATGGTTCGTGTGGGACGGTGTGGATCTGTATCATTGGAATCTTATCCACATCCAACCTCCCACGCTCCTCGTCATTAAACGCATACGCGCGATGTCTCTTCTTCATCGTTTCCACCATCAGGGTCCTCTTCTGGGGTGACAGGAAGCCAGATTCACCAATTACCAGCCCTCCCTCATTCTCTTCGTTGATACGGCACGGCCCGGCCAACGAGTGCTCCTGCATACGCCGTATCAATCCTCGCCCCCGCTCGTAGTAGGCTTCCTCGTCCTCTGTGACGAGCACGGGAACTGGGCGGCACTTCTTGTCTATAGTCTTGTACCGTCTTTGGGAGCCCTGCTTAATCCCTCCCCTAAAAAAGGCCGACTTGTCGTTCGGGCCTGGGCCATTGCAGGGCCTTCCCTCCCTCCTGGAAGCCGATACACCAATTCCACCTCTCCCACCTGAGGGTTCTCCAAAACCTGCTCCCTCAATGCCTTGATGGCCTCCGGATCCGCCATGTCGTGTGTCGACACCACCTCCATGGCCTTGTTCACATCTGTGAGGCTTAGTGTCAGCACCTCAGCCCTATCTTCCTCCTCGGGCACTTCCCAAAGCCGCCTTCGCTCGTTCTCCGATTCCTCAAAGGTGAACGAGTCGAGATTACGCCTGTTCCTTCCACTCCCCGGCCCCGTGTTTCGGCAGGTGATGACTTCGTAGTTCCCGCACGCTGGATCGCATAGGAGCAAGATCATCGTCCCATCGTGCTTATTGAAAATTAACACCTCTGTTCGGCACAGGAACGACCGCCCCAGAAGGATGGAGTAATCGACATCGGGCATAACGAAGAAACAAGTCCTCGCCCGCACCTTCCCGATCTCTATGATCACGTTGGACGTCGTGCCACAAAAAGCGGCCTTACAGTTGGCGTCGTGCAGCATACCGTGATACGAACGGTCAATCTCTATCCCCATCATCACCACCTCCTTCTCCCTGATGATGTTCATCTCTGCGCCCGTGTCCACCATCCCAGTGCACTTCTGGTTCTTTATCACCAGATCCACCTGCCCGCACGCCACACATTTCCAATCCATCCTTGTCCCTGCCTCAGTCCACTCCACCTCCCTGGGCAGGACCGTACTCAGATGGACATTTGGTACCAGCCTTCGCGAGAGTCGCCCTTTCAACTCACCACGGAGCCTTGGCGCCGACGCCAGGATGTCCTTTAGGTTCATCAAGTCATTGTGGCCTTCCAGGAGCTTGTCCACCATCCGCTCTATGTCAAAGCCTTCCTCCATCCGGACCTCGTACTTCTTCCTCTTAGGCACGCTGTCAGGCAGGCTTGGCTCGGGCTCTTCCCAGGCTCCTCTCGTTTTGGCCCTCAGCTCCGCCCGCTGGTCCTCCTCTTGTCGGAGCCTCTCATCCTCTTCGTCGTCGTCCTCATCCTCTTCCTCCGGGACCTCCACCACTTCCTTTCTGTGTCCTGGCTCAGGCTCCTTTCGAGGGGGCGCCCAACTGGGCGCCTGGCTGGGCTCTTGACTAGGTCCAACCTTATTTTGGCTCCTGGTTCGCGTCGCCTGCGGCACTCTTCCATGCGATGTGGGGGGCCTAAAGGTCATACCCGACCTGGGGCCTGTCCCCACGGTCGCAACTCTTGGGCACCCCTGTTGACCTGATGAAGGCTCAGGTCCGGAGTCATAAAGGAAGACCTCAGGCAGGTTGGCTTCCCATCTTAGGGCCTCCTCACACCGGGTCTGCAACTTCTGTTGGTACCTCCCCACCTTCTCCAGCAGATCCTCCATCTTCTCCAGGATGATTATGGCGGGCTCCCTTTCGCCTTCCTGCCCCTCGTCATCCGACTCGACGACTATTGCCTCCTCCCTTATAGTCCCTGCCTTTAGTCGCTGAGTGACCTCCTCACTATCCCCCACAATCTCCTCAACTCTTATGGCCGACTCTTGTCTTTCCTGCCACATCCGGAACATGGTCGGGGGTGCCGATGGCCCTACCGTCGCTCGCCTAAGAGCCTCTTGCCTGATTCCTTCCGGGGTCTTGGGGTCGATATGCTCCCCCCACTTATCATATATATCCCAGTCCATACAGGAGGAAATTAACCCTGACAACTCATCATCCCGCCGTCGTTGGCAGAACCGTATAGTGTGGCCCACATCGCCACAATGCCAATAGGTGGCATTCCGCCAATCAAAGTGGGGCCTCCCATACCCTTGGCCCCCCTCCTGGCCACCTCGGCCATCTTGGTTCTGGCCCCCTTGACCGTTCCAACCACCTCTGCGACCCCCACCATTTCCTCCTCGGCCCCGGCCACCACCTCCTCGACCCCCTTGACCTCGGCCTCCATTGCCTTGCCCGCCTTGTCCTTGGTTTCCTCCCCCAGCCACGCTAGCCTGCGAGGCCTGTTGGGAGGGTGGCGGTTGGGCCACAAACTGACCTTGGGTCGCGGGGTAGCTCGGGGGGCCCATACTTGCCGACGGGTCCGAATAGGGGACCATTTGTCCAGCATGGGCCTGACTTCCTCCACAGGAGGTACAGTGGTTACAGCTGGGCCAGGGCGCGAGCTGACAACGCGGCATCCAATGCCCACAAGCCGGCGGCGGCCCCATGCACAACGGCCCGGCCGACGCTGGCGTTGGCGTCGCGGCAGGTGGCGGCGCGGCAACCGCTTGCGGGGCTTGCCCCTTCCCTGATCCTTGGCCCCCCATTAGTAAATTACGCTGCTTCCTCTGGGCTTTGGTCAGGATCTGGGAGCCTGTTTCTTCTCCGCCGTGATCCTCGCGTCCAGCCTCTTAATCCACTGCCCCTGATGCCCGGCCTTGGGCCACGATCACCCCTCTCCTTTGTACTTCCGTCTCATTGTCATACCCAAGCGCGGCCAGCACGTCCGTGACAATCTTTTTCACCCCTGGGGTCCCAAATGCGGTGGCGTCCCTTTCCTTCCTCTTGCGCCTCTGCAACCGCATCTGGTGCTGCTCCACCTGGTCCAGACTCCCCTCTTCCTCTCCCTTGTCAATAGTGGCCCAGGTGAGCTTCTCAGTTCCCCCTCCATGGCTCGTCAATTCCGCGACATCCGAGATAGTAAGGAGACCCAAAAATATAGCACACTGCGTCTCCTCAGAAATCCCGTGCACCTTCCTCGCCTTCTTTTTGAACTCGTGCACGACCGCCCCAATCGTGGAGAAGTCATCTCTGTTCATGGCCTCCAGGTCCGCCATGGTCAACAGTCCATCCCCTTGCCTATACTTTCTTAGCATTAGGTCCCTGAACCTTGCCCAGCTGCCACTTGCGACTTCCACCACCCTACCCACCTCCTGATGGTGGCTATAAAGGACGTATCTCATAATCTGCTGAAACCTTACTTCATCCGCCAATCTCACCAATGCCTGCTCAACCAGGTCTAGCCAGTCAGACACCCGATCCCCCTTGAAGTGGAATGTCTCAACCTTCGGGACATTGCTCAGCACTCTCTCGCGCTTATCTAAGGCATCTATGAGGTCGTCGAGCGTCACGAGCCTCCTCCCACCGTCCGCCATTTCCTCTGGCATTATGATTGACTGCCTTCGGCTTCGATCCCCCCTGTTATAAGACGCGATAGGACGAAAGGTTCCACTCAGCAGTCCATTCCATCACAATCCTATCGGGCTGACCACTTAAAACCCCCGACGCTCCAGACCTGGCAGACATTTCTCTTCCTATTTCCCTTAGGCTTACCTAGACAAGGCCCATCCCCACCACATAATTTCCTCGCACATTGGCCTCGTCCACACCATCAGCCAAACCACCAATCAATCAACATTCACACGCACAACCATGCAGGCTACTATACGATCCATCTCATAGTCCTTCCCTTATCTACTTCGTGTGCCTAGTTCTCCCTCATTCTCATACCCGGATGTCGTTCCACAAGGCACAACGACAGACTTCCTTTATCCCCGACAACGGCGTCACCTGTCGAGCGCATCGGTCCGGCACTGCACGTGGCAGCGCGGGACCCTCTCGGTCGCGTCACGCAGGAGCTGGACCAACCTCGACACGAACACAAAAATGAAGCTTCCTTAGGCCGCTCTGGCCGAGTGCGCCACCCATACCTCTCGCGAGCCCCTACGACAGGGTAGGGCATACGCGAGGCACAACTTACCTGCACCTTACGGGAGCTGTCACCTCCCCGCCGTGGGCGTATTCCCGCCAAGCTACCAGTCCACAGTACGAAAGTTACTCGGTTGCAATCGCAGAGGTGGACCAGCCGAGGGCGTTTCTCGTTCGCTGTAGCATAGGGGGCACGCGCGGTAATACGCCTGTCGGACCCGCACGCGAACCGACATCTTGGGGGGCTGAAGTCCCAAGCGTGACTCGTCGTCGGTCGACTAGGACGCATCTCACACACCACGCGCACGCCACTCTACGAACACACAAAACGAAACACACACACATACACACGAAATGACACAACACAAACAACGCGACAACGCTCCTAGCCCCTTCAGTGACCATCCCATAACTTTCCACTGCGGAAATCGGATCGGCGTCATGCGAGAGACTTAGTATAAAACTGCGCCGACGCAGGGCCTACTCATATCGACTAGCAATGCAAACGTACGCAAGCAGTCGCAACGATGGCGTACCATGTAGTACCCATACTCGCGCGGCCTTCGTTAATCTCAGGGGTCGCGTTCGGCACTCAAGTGTCGGCTGACATGCGCCTTGAGGGTTAATCTCTCGACACCAGACACCCTCAATGYGCGGTTGAAGACCACACACCCTCTTCTGCACCTTATGCASAGTGGGTGGTACAAAGGTTCAYACCTGTGGTGGCAGTCGTTTCTTGCGGCCCAGGAGGTATGCAGAGCGGGTGGTACAAAGGTTCATACCTGTRGTGRCAGTCGTTTCTTGCGGCCCTGGAGGTAAGTCCTACTCYAGGCCTGGTAAAAGTCAAGGGGTTTGACTTTGACGGCTGCCACGGACTATAACGTCCAACTATGAAAACTCTAAAAAACAAAAACGAATAGGTCGATGGTTCCCTTGTTCCAAAAGGGGTCATGACCTTTGGGGTTCCCTCCCCCTCTTCGAGTGGTGCCCTCGACCTACAATAATCTCAAGCGTTCG